ACTGCCTTTAGGAATTATTTATGAGTGAGTGTTTTATTTATGATTGTTGGCAAAGATCCATATTAAAATGAAGTGTAACGATAGTGCCTCTCGACAATAAAAAGTCTTGAATTCAGCTTATGCAGGCGCCATGATGTGACACAGCAGGAATGCTTTTAATATTGAAGCACTGTTCTTGTTTTGCGTATATATTGTATTTAAGGAGCACTTAACCATTCAAGATGCTACCCTACAGGACACGGTGATTTTTCAGAAAGGAAGAATGGAAGTAATTGTTCGACTCACTTTTCAGATGGTTTCATTGGTTTTCATCATGTTGCTCTACTTAACTGATGCACCACATTTCATTGGGTTGTGTATTGTTCTTTGTTTCAGTAACGGTTTGTAAAGGAAACTTCAGCAACTCTTTCCAAAACTGGACTGTGTCAGGCAGTATTGCTTTTCCAGAAGCAAGCTCAGAACTGTGGATGCTACGTAAATGGTCAGTGCCTTGCTGGGGCTAGCTTACTTGTCAGCAGTTTACCCAGATTCACGTTCAGAGCCATATTAGCAAATCATCAACCTTAAACTTCCCAATTCTTCTGTCAAGGAGGGACAGGGTGTGCCCTCATCCATCATCACTGTAAAGACCAAACACCAAGCAAACCTTACAGTGAAGCGGGAGAGGGCAGAAGACAAATAAAAGCCAACCAAATCAAGGGTATGGCAAAAGCACAAACAACATCTGTCTTCTGTTGCTCTCCTGGTCGTGAAGGTTAACATTTTCACAGCAAAAGCAAAAAGACCCAGGCTTAAATCTGGACTTTTCCCTTTTTAGGCGCAGAAGAGACATCAGGAAATATCTCAGGTGTCTGCTGAGACTTCCAAGCATGTCAAAGCTCTGTTATAACAAACACTTGCCATACAACTAACATGAAAACCAAAAGATTTCATTTTTAAAGGTCCAACAGTCTCTTCTCCCCTGCTATATGCTCTGGATATGAGAACAGACCAAGCATGGGTAAACTAAACTAGGCAGGAGGATGAGACAATTTGACTCAGTACACCAGGAAGAAACTTCCCTTTAGAGAAGGACAAATCTCAGTGCCTAAAACCGGGAAAGATTTATTTTTCTAGAGGAGAACATGACACCACAGAAGCCTTGTCCTTCGAGCATAATGGGTACAAGCATAAACACAATGTGGCTGGGCACAAGGGACTTACTACCAAGCACCTAAGGAGGCTGCAGGATGCTACGTTAACTATAAATGACTTACAGGGAAGGGCTAGGAAGCTGCAGAGGAGAAATAAACCTTTAAACACATAGAGTAGATCAGGAATAAGAAGGCTGATTAGTAAGATGGATGGATTGGAAGTAAGTCTCAGCTACAGGAGATACAAAGTTGTGACCCCAGAAGATAAAGAGACTAATGATCTACTGCAGTGATTTTTTTTTTCCACAGTGACCAACTGATTCATTGCTCATGCAAAGTCTGAGGAAGACCATTTCCCTAGTAATTAGATAACGAAAGGAAAAAATTCCTCTGCAGCTGTGACAGGACTATTGAGTTATCTGTGAATCCCTCTCATTCTTAAATGAAGGGCTGAATTCACTTCATTGACTTTCAGAGAAGGAAGGAGGTGGCAAAGACACGAGACTTGAATTTGTTCCAGCGTGTGCTAAAAGCTTCTGGCTTCACTGCTGTTTCAAAGTGACCGTTCAGTATTTGCTGAGGCTGTATGACATCTTTTGCTGTGCTATACAAAGGTAACAGAAAGACATTTTTCTCAAACCAGTAAAAACTAAGCATTTAGTGGAAACTTTCTGCCTATGCCTGGCTTACTCAGGAGACCTGAGGAGTAAAGTGGCATTTAAATAGTAATTTTTATTTGGGTTTTTAAAATTTATTTGTTTATCAAGTGTTGTTACATGTATTTAGAAGCTCCTCTACATATGTAGATAGCTTCAGTCCTTATATACAGTTTTAAGTAGTTGAACTGAAGTAATTCTTTGCTAACAGATGAAGAAGCCACAACTAAATCAGCAATGGAACTGAAAACTGATGCAGTGAAGATGACAGTGATCCTATTTAATATCTGCACTCAGATATTACTAACATTGATATTTGTGTTTAATCTAACAAGACACTTGCTAACAGATAGACCAGGCAGGAACAGAGAGCAAGGGGGAAGGACCATGTTTTTCCCTTGGTTGGGCAGCTCCAAACACTGCTGTGAACCTTCTGTGCTCTGCAACGAGCAGTTACTCTCACAAAAAGGGAAAATTCTAACGCCATAACAGTTCTCAGTTCTTTGGATGTATTCCCTTTGTCTCAAAGATTTCTGTTGTGTCTTGCTGTACTCTGTTGGGTGCTGCTTGTTTAATTATTACCTGCTCCAACACACTCAACTGGAATCAATGCCATCTCCTTTCCATCTGCTTCTTGTTTTAAAAGCTGAGCATATCTCTTGGCTCCTGAACATGTGTGCAACTTTTCAGTAATTCCCATATGATTGATGAGAATATATTCTGCCTGATTTGGAGGGAAGGGGTGTTTGGTCTCCACCCCACTTTTCTAATGCCCATATACACACAAAAAGTCAGTCCTATGGTATCTATTACAGATTATTTCACTAAGCAACCAGCCAAGTCTTTGTTCTGTAATTTAGTAGAACAAAGTAAGCTTGAACTTGACCCTCCAGCCGTTTTCAGCAAACAACATCTGTGTGAAGCCGTTAGGCTTCCAATACATTGACTCACTGCAATGTCTATAAGAGTGAATCTTGCAAAACGTGTTGTGGACTCTTCAGCACCATCGCTGCAGTTGGTATTCTGTGTTGGGTATATACTGATCTTATGTAGATCATGCTTAGCTGGTCTTATTATCACAAAAATGCCTTTACTGGAGAGCAGGAATGAAGTGCAGGAAAAAACGTGAGTAGGCTTTTTCAAGCACACTCAGAAAGAGCTGGTGAGCTTTTAACTACTGCCCTCTCAGTTAGCCACTCAAAGGGACAGTCTAAGCAGGTCTGCAGGAGAAGGGGAGGTGGCAGTGAGGGGTGTGAGCACCACCAAGGAGGAGCAGTGCCTGGAAAGATGTGGACTGGCTCCAGTGCTGAGCTGACAAGGAGAGAGGATTCCTTGGCTGCCAAAGGACTGAGGGGCTCTGTGCTTGGCCTCCCTATTTCCTCTCTACACTCTCTTCCTCTGTCCTAGTCCATGTGCCCTCACTCCATCCTACACGCAGGTGGCTCATCCACCCTCTGGCCAACTTGCAGCTCCCTGTGCTTCCAGCTGTAATTTCCCACACACCACAGCAGCAGCAGCTCCCCAGCTCTCTCTCCCCACACTCCTGACTTCACCAGTTGTTTCCCAGCTCTGTGACATGGTGGGGCCCCAGCTGGACACTACAGGGCTCCCAAAGGCTGGTCTCACCCATGGCTACCCCCCAACACTCCTCAGGGAGCCTTGGGCAGGGCCCAGTCCTGTCAGAGAGGGTACAGCAGCTGTGTGATTCTCACAGGACTTCTGAGCATTTGCATGAGGAGCAGCTTTCAATGGCCACATCGACACAGATACTCAGGCGCACACTGGGGATGGTATTCCACAAATCACTCATATCCTGCTCTTTCACACACACCTACACCTTCTCAATGATAAACCATCCCCCCATGGGTCTTTTGTTGCTCCATGTAATGTCTCTTGATCATTCTTCTTCCTGGGCTCATCCCCTATGTCCCATAACAATGTCCTGGCCCATTCCTTGCAGACCACCCCTCAACACAACCTCCCTCAGTGACCTTTCCTCAGCTGAGCTCTGCCTATTCCTCTTGGCTATTAGAGCAGGCCTGATCTCCAAAGCTGCCTTGTAGTATGTACCCTGGAGCTTTATTAACAGCTCTACCACCACCAGCTCAGGCCCTACTGCTTCCTCTGGGGTGGCCGCTCTTGCCAATGTACATTGGAAACACAGGAGGGAAGGGATGGCCTTGTGCTTGGGTGCTGGGCTGAACTTGGGCAAACACGGTCCAATCTTTTGACCACAAACTTCATGTAACTTTGGCCAAGCGCTTCATCCCTCACCTTCTCATCTGCAGCAGGGCCACCAAAAAATAGTGCTGTATACATCTTGCAGATAATAAACTCTTGAGATGGAAACCAGGTCTCTCCTATTTCTCAAAGGCTCAAGCAAATTTACAGTGCTCTATCAATGCTGAGTAGTGTGAGCCTCTGGGGAGCAGTTACTGCAAGTTCAAGTGCCTGTATTGAAGAAGAATGTGACTGCTCCCCTACTTTCCCCATAGACCCGTGAAACCATATAGGGTTATTTTTTTAGCTGCTTATACCTGCTTTATTAGGGGCACCTGTTACAACTAGTGAAATAAAGTGAAACTAAACTGATGAGGAAAGTAGTTGTGGGTACTGTGATTTAAGCTATTAATTAATCTCAGACCTACTGAAAAAGTCTGCTTATTCCATCATCATCAATCCAATCACATATAAACCTACTGAAATGTCATACAAATTACAGTTTTCCAAGCTGTTGCGTAGAACTATTCAGGTGGGAAGAGCTGTAACTATTAGAGACCTCACCTGGAGTATTGTGTGCAGTTCTGGTGTCCTCAACATAAAAAGGACATGGAACTGTTGGAACAAGTCCAGAGGAGGGCCACGAGGATGATCAGGGGACTGGAGCACCTCCTGTATGAAGATAGGCTGAGAAAGTTGGGGCTGTTCAGCCTGGAGACGAGAAGGCTGCGTGGAGACCTCATAGCAGCCTTCCAGTATCTGAAGGGGGCCTGTAGGGATGCTGGAGAGGGACTCTTCATTAGAGACTGTAGTGATAGGACAAGGGCTAAGGGGTTAAAACTTAAGCAGGGGAAGTTTAGGTTGGATATAAGAAGGAAATTCTTTCCTGTTAGGGTGGTGAGGCACTGGAATGGGTTGCTCAGGGAGTTTGTGAATGCTCCATCCCTGGCAGTGTTCAAGACCAGGTTGGACGAGGCATTGGGTGATACGATTTAGTGTGAGGTGTCCCTGCCCATGGCAGGGGGGTTGGAACTAGATGATCTTAAGGTCCTTTCCAACCCTAACTATTCTATGATTTTATGATTCTATAATACTTCTCTTTTCAACTTCGCGTCCATGGACACCAAAGGGATCACACTTGCTTTTCTTTTGAACATAGACTTATCTAGGAACTACATGTAATTTCTAGAGCTTCTCAACAAAATACTCTGCAGCTTTTCAGCGAAAAGTTAGATATGTAGAGCCTTGCCTTTGCTCTACTGCACACCAGAGTATTGCCTTTTTTGTCTGTAACTGAGGGATGTACAGCCCAGCATGGGAATACACATACACAACCATGAATCAGATCATTGAAGTGGATTTTGAGGAATGAAAACGCATGTCCCTGAGCAACATCCAGGCTGGGATGCCGACTCAACCATAAGGAGCTGTTGAAAGTGAAGTCACTGGGGCACCGAATTCCTGGGTGCCCCCTGAAAAGTCAGACCTGTCTGAAGCTGAGCAGTCAGGATCATTGTAACACTTGAAAATCTTGGCCCAAGAATGGCCTTGTGTTAAGCCTAGCAGGGTCACTTCATATTGGCATGCAGAGCTGCTGTGAAACCACCATGAGTAGAAGAGGGTGGCAACAGTCTGCGCCTAATGTTGTAACTCCTTTTTTTAGCTGGATACAAAGATGACGTCCAAAGCTTTCATGAAAACTTGCCTTCTCAGCACACTGATGATGTCTACAGCTTGAAAAGACTGACAGGAGAATCAGTTTCTTGATTTACCCTCCAACTCCTGATTTTTTGCTGCCATAGACAGCAGGCACCAGCAAACAAACAACTCAACTGCTGGTGCTCTAAGCAGATATGAAGCTTTTTTCTATCTACTGTCTTAACTGTTACATTTAACTGTGAAGTGCTTCTGCCAGGGGCTCCAGGGAAGTGCAGAATTTGGGTGTTGGCGTGCCTGTTCTATGCGCTAAGCACAGAGCAAATTCGTGGCACAGAAAGCCTGCACTTCAAATATAAAATATGGAGCTGCAGATGGATATAATAAAGCAGGAACCATATGGAAACAATGACACAATTATGAGCAGCATAATAAGCAACGGTCATAGCGCACCAAGGCCATAAGCAGACTTCCTATTCTGGATTCCTAAATTTGGCATCTTATACCTAAATAGAAGTCATCTGTCCCATCAAGGCAATCCAGAGGTTCTCTCCTAGTTACCCCAATGCCTTATACAGCCAGTGGAAATGTCAGCTGTGGGTTTGCTCTCCAGCAGCTCCCTTGAGCCCATCCGGCACCACTCAAGTCTGGTGCCAAGGAGGAAACAGCAGGCGCCAACTCCTTTTTCCATGCCCCTCTGAGGGCTGAGGCACTGGGTGCCACCGGGATGTGCTGCCCCAGGGCCACATTGTCAGAAGAGCACTGGTATGTGAGGTGGGGGAGGCGAGAAGCAAGACCCTGCGCCAGTGAGCTTGTTGCAGCCAGCTTGTTGCAGCCCTTTGTTGCCTGCTCTGCTCTCAGCTGTGCTGTGGTTTGCAGCAGCCCATGGTGCAGTGGAACCATAGAGCTGCAGGGAGAGGGAGCAGGAGGGTCTGGCTGCAGTTAACCAACCAGTCTGGTCTTCCAGGAGTGGACAGTTACAGTTTTTGCTCATATGCGTGAGTAGTGTGCATCTTTTGTATTACAAAATGCATGAGCATTGACTTTTACCCACCCCAGGATGGTCCCATGTTACTGAGTGACAGAAGGTCACTCACTCTCCTGTGGGTCCCAGGTGCCCAGTGTTGTTTTCTGCACCATCGGTGCTTATCCTGTGTGATGGGTGAAGCACATGTCTCTTCCCAGAGATGTCCATCACTCAGTTACGCTCTTCTCCTGAGAAACAATTAGTTATTCAGATCCTGACAGGTTGAATAGAGTCTAGCACTCACTTTCTCTGCTTTATGGCTGAGTGTGGTATCCAAGAGGGTGTTATATATGCAGTGTCCCTTTCTCCTTTGGTCCTTTCTCGAGCCTGTCACTGTGTAGCACAGCCTGAGCAGGTTGAATGGCTTCATGTCTCCCACAGACTTCAAGTTATTCTGCACAAGTTGAAAAAACCCTGGCAATAAAATGCTCATACACTTCTGAGTATGTGCAGTAAAGTGTATGAGAAACCAGCAGTAGAAGCAGCACTGCTAAGACTGGATACCTCCTCAGGCTGGCAGCCCCAAGTAGTATGTGGTACAAATTGCTCTGCTGAACTAAGGCTTCTAAATTACTCTTAAATCAGCCTTTGGTTTGCTCACAGTCAGTCTGAATGTTGGTCTATTGCCAATAACAAATGAACTTGAAGAAGGCTGGAATTCCAACCATTTTGTTTAAGATTCCCAGTGAATGTCTTTGAAAGTTTGTAGCCTTGCCATGTTCTGCTAATCACTTAAGCATTTAACTTGTCAGGTGCTCAGAAGTTCATGATTTTTGTTCTTCTTTCTGGCCAAATTTTTTTCCAATTTGATAGCTTAAAACAAGCATCTGTATTTTTATGTAAGCATCTAAATCAACACTTTGCCACATTCTGAATCTCCCATCTCTGAAAATCAGCCATTCTAAGATACCTACATATGGTTTTAGGAACCTAACTTCTGACAGCCAAATTCATGTCTGTGATACTTTCACATGTTTTTAATAAGAATCTAAACATAAACCAGACCAAAGAAAAAAAGAAGGGGAGTGGAGGGGATAAAAACAATACCCTGTAGGATATCTATGTGTTGACATAAAATATGGAATAATCGCTGCCTTTTGCATATGTGTATGCAGATTTTCTTTCAAAAGTGAATTATGGAATCAGTAGTTCAGACCATCCTTGGAAGATTATTATATCTCACACATAACAAAACAGCAGGCCTTACACTGAGATGTTTTTCAGTGGCAATTCAGTGTCCATCACTCCTCAACAGAAGGTCTTCACTTGCTCCCATGTGCTTACTTCTATTCCTGTTTTGTCAGGCCTAGGCAGAGGTTTAGCTGCAGTGACCGTCCAGCCATGAAAAGTGGAATGCATTTGTTCTTCCTTACACAAAGACTGGAAGAGCATGTGTCTATGCTCAAAACTTAAACTGAAATCCAAACTGATCACCATACTCCCACCAGGAGAATGCTTAAAAAGTGTGAAAAGGGAGTGCATTCACTATGTACCTTTTTCCTGCTCTAGAGAGCACCTACAAACAAGAATGAGAGCTGTGGAGCTGCCATAGCCTTGTACGTACGTGTTTGCTGTGATCAAAACCTCTTAGGCAGGATGTGTGTGGCACTTTCAGACTTCGGTCTGGTCCAGAGTTTGCAGCAGGAGCTACTGAGGACAAAAAGCTCCTTCCTCAAGCCATAGATCGAGACAGAGATTTCCTTTCCTGTGTATGTACCAGCACAGCCGCACTCTTCTCCCATGCAATATTAGGCAAGAAGATGAATTTCACCGACAGAGGGATCTGATGGGGTTTAGCACTTCCATGGCTTTGTGTGTGCGACTCAGCTCACTGGCTATAGTTGGATATTGTAGAAAGGCTTCTTCATTCTTTACATTCGGTACTTCTCAGTTTGGTTTACACCCACTAAAAATCGTTTCCATGTTTTTCTTCCTTACAAGGAAAATAAACTTGTAAAGAGGGAGAAGTGAAGGGTTACATCTGGAGAGAGTTATGGCTGTGGCTCAAAGGAACAACTGGAATGTCTGTAATGAGGAAGTTTCTTCCACGCAGCCATTTTTCTCCTTTTCTTGGGAAGTACAGAAACGTGCTGCTTCTGTTCACAGAGCGCAGCCCCCGTGCAAATTCCAGTGAGGGACTGCAACAGCAACCCTGCTGAGAGTATGGGTGGTGATTTACGTCGGTACAACCCACTCAGCCTCATGCACATTGTCAGGAGCATCTCAGCATCAGAAACTTTACCTATCTTGAAACTAATTATAAGAAGCCACAGCCATAGTAACAACAGCAGATTTTATAATTGGCTAATTCTGATAATTTTTGGTATGAATTTGGGGAAAACGGATGACCCAGGGAATTACAGAGCAGTCAGTCTCACCTCTGTGCCTGGCAAAATCTTGGAGCAGATTCTCCTGGATGGCATGCTAAGGCACATGAAAATCAACAAGGTGCTTGGTGACAGCCAGCATGGCTTCACTAAGGGGAAATCCTGCCTGACCAATTTGGTGGCTTTCCATGATGGGGCTACGGAACTGATGGACAGGGGTAGAGCAGTTGATGGCATCTACCTGGACTTGTGCAAAGCGTTCGACATTGTCCCACACGACATCCTTGTCTCTAAATTGGAGAGACATCAATTTGATAGGTGGACCACTCGGTGGATAAAGAACTGGCTGGATGGCCACACACAAAGAGTTGTGGTCAATGGCTCAATGTCCGGCTGGAGACCAGTAACGAGTGGTGTCCCTCAGGGATCGGTGTTGGGACCGGTCTTGTTCAACATCTTTGTCGCTGACATGGACAGTGGGATTGAGTGCGCCCTCAGCAAGTTTGCCGATGACACCAAGCTGTGTGGTTCAGTTGATACCCTGGAGGGAAGGAATGCCATCCAGAGGAACCTTGACACACTTGTGAGGTGGCCAATGCCAATCTCACGAAGTTCAACCATGCCAAGTGCAAGGTCCTACACCTGGGTCGGAGCAATCCCAGGCATAGCTACAGGTTGGGCAGAGAAGAGATTCAGAGCAGCCATGCGGAAAAGGACTTGGGGATGTTGGTTGATGAGAGAATGAACATGAGCCAGCTTCAGTGTGCACTTGCAGCCCAGAAAGCCAACCGTATCCTGGGCTGCATCCAAAGGAGCGTGACCAGCAGGTCGAAGGAGGTGATCCTGCCCCTCTCCTGTGCTCTTGTGAGACCTCACCTGGAGTATTGTGTGCAGTTCTGGTGTCCTCAACATAAAAAGGACATGGAACTGTTGGAACAAGTCCAGAGAAGGGCCATGAGGATGATCAAGGGACTGGAGCACCTCCCGTATGAAGACAGACTGAGAAAGTTGGGGCTGTTCAGCCTGGAGAAGAGAAGGCTGCGTGGAGACCTCA